CTGTGAATCCATCTGGTCCTGGGCTTTTTCTGGTTGGTAGAAAAAGCCTCAACTTCAAAGCCTGTTATTGGTCTAGTCAGAGATTCCACTTCTTCCTAGTTTAGTCTTGGGAGGGTGTATGTGTCCAGGAATTCATCCATTTCTTCTAGATTTTCTAGTATATTTGCGTAGAGGTGTTTATAGTATTGTCTGATGGTAGTTTGTATTTCTGCGGGATCAGTGGTGATATCCCCTTTATCATTTTTTATTGCATCTATTTGATTCTTCTCTCTTTTCTTCTTTATTAGTCTTGCCAGCAGTCTATTTTGTTGATCTTTTCAAAAAACCAGCTCCTGGATTCATTGATTTTTTTGACGGGTTTTTTACATCTCTATTCCCTTCAATTCTGCTCTGATCTTAGCTATTTCTTGCCTTCTACTAACTTTTGAATTTGTTTGCTCCTGCTTCTCTAGTTCTTTTAACTGTGATGTTAGGTTGTCAATTTTAGATCTTCCCTGCTTTCTCTTGTGGGCATTTAGTGGTATCAATTTCCCTCGACACATTGCTTCAAATGTGTCCCAGAGATTCTGATACGTTTTGTCTTTGTTCTCATTGGTTTCAAAGAACATCTTTATTTGTACCTTCATTTTGTTATTTACCCAGTAGTCATTCAGGAGCAGGTTGTTCAGTTTCCATGCAGTTGTGCTTTTTTGAGTGAGTTTCTTAGTCTTGAGTTCTAATTTGATGGCACTGTGGTCTGAGAGACAGTTTGTTGTGATTTCTGTTCTTTTACATTTGCTGAGGAGTGCTTTACTTCCAACTATGTGGTCAATTTTGGAATAAGTGTGATGTAGTGCTGAGAAGAACGTATATTCTGTTGATTGTTGATTTGGGATGGAGAGTTCTGTAGATGTCTATTAGGTCTGCTTGATGCAGAGCTGAGTTCAAGTCCTGGATATCCTTGTTAACCTTCTGTCTCATTGATCTGTCTAATATTGACAGTGGAGTGTTAAAGTCTCCCATTATTATTGTGTAGGAGTCTAAGTCTCTTTGTAGGTTTCTAAGGACTTGTTTTATGAATCTGGGTGTTCCTGTATTGGGTGCATATATATTTAGGATAGTTAGCTCCTCTTGCTGAATTGATCCCTTTATCATTATGTAATGGCCTTCTTTGTCTCTTTTGATCTTTGATGGTTTAAAGTCTGTTTTATCAGAGACTAGGATTGCAACTCTGCTTTTTTTTGTTTTCCATTTGCTTGGTAGATGTTCCTCCATCCCTTTATTTTGAGCCTATATGTGTCTTTACACATGAGTTGGGGCTCCTGAATACAGCACACTGATGGGTCTTGACTCTTTATCCAATTTGCCAGTCTGTGTCTTTTAATTGGAGCATTTAGCCCATTTACATTTAAGGTTAATATTGTTATGTGTGAATTTGATCCTGTCATTATGATGTTAACTGGTTATTTTGCCCATTAATTGATGTAGTTTCTTCATAGCATCAATGGTCTTTACAATTTGGCATGCTTTTGCAGTGGCTGATACCAGTCGTTCCTTTCCATGTTTAGTGCTTCCTTTGAGAGCTCTTGTAAGGCAGGCCTGGTGGTGACAGAATCTCTCAGTATTTGCTTGTCTGTAAAGGATTTTATTTTTCCTTCACTTATGAGGCTTTGTTTGGGTGGATATGAAATTCTGGGTTGAAAATTCTTTTCTTTAAGAATGTTGAATATTGATTGGCCCCCACTCTCTTCTGACTTATAGAATTTCTGCCAAGAGACCCGCTGTTAGTCTGATGGGCTTCCCTTTGTGGGTAACCCGACCTGCCTCTCTGGCTGCCCTTAACATTTTTTTTCTTCATTTCAACCTTGGTGAATCTAACAATTACATGTCTTGGGGTTGCTCTTCTCAAGGAGTATCTATGTGGTGTTCTCTGTATTTCCTGAATTTGAATGTTGGCCTGCCTTGCTAGGTTGGGGAAGTTTTCCTGGATAATATCCTGAAGAGTGTTTTCCAACTCAGTTTTATTCTCCCCATCACTTTCAGGTACACCAATCAAATGTAGATTTGGTCTTTTCACATAGTCCCATATTTCTTGGGGGCTCTGTTCATTTCTTTTTACTCTTTTTTCTCTAAACTTCTCTTCTCACTTTATTTAATTAATTTGATCTTCAATCACTGATACACTTTCTTCCACTTGATCAAATCGGCTATTGAAGCTTATGTATGTGTCACATAGTTCTCGTGCCACGGTTTTCAGCTTCATCAGGTCATTTAAGATCTTCTCTACACTACCATTCGTCTAATCTTTTTAAAAGGTTTTTAGCTTCCTTGTGATGGGTTCGAACATCCTCCTTTAGCTCGGAAAAGTTTGTTATTACCGACCTTCTGAAGCCTACTTCCATCAACTCATCAAAGTTATTCTCCATCCAGCTTTGTTCCATTGCTGGCAAGGAGCTGTGATCCTTTGGAGGAGAAGAGACCCTCTGGTTTTTAGAATTTTTAGCTTTTCTGCTCTGGTTTCTCCCCATCTTTGTTGTTTTATCTACCTTTGGTCTTTGATGTTGGTGACCTACAGGTGGGGTTTTGGTGTGGATGTCCTTTTTGCTGATGTTGATGCTATTCCTTTCTGTTTGTTAGTTTTCCTTCTAACAGTCAGGTCCCTCAGCTGCAGGTCTGTTGGAGTTTGCTGGAAGTCCACTGCACACCCTGTTTGCCTGGGTATCACCAGCTGCAGAACAGCAAATATTGCTGCCTAATCCTTCCTCTGGAAGCTTTGATCCAGATGGGCACCCACCTGTATGAGATGTCAGTCGGCCCCTACTGGGAGGTGTCTCCCAGTTAGGCTACATGTGGGTTAGGGACCCACTTGAGGAGGCAGTCTGTCCATTCTCAGAGCTCAAACACCATGCTGGGAGAACCACTGCTCTCTTCAGAGCTGTCAGACAGTGACGTGTAAGTCTGCGGAAGTTTCTACTGCCTTTTGTTCAGCTGTGCCCTGCCCTCAGAGGTGGAGTCTACAAAGGCAGCAAGCCTTGCAGCTCTGCAGTGGGCTCCACCCATTTCAAGCTTCCCCGCCCATTTGTTTACCTACTCAAGCCTCAGGTATGGCGGATGCCCCCCTTCACCCTGCTGGCCTGCTGCCTCACAGGTCAATCTCAGACTACCGCACTAGCAGTGGCAGTGAGCAAGTCTCTGTGGGCATGGGACCCACTGAGCCAGGTATGGGATATAATCTCCTGGTGTACAGTTTGCTACGACCATTAGAAAAGCGCAGTATTTGAGTAGGAGTGTCCTGTTTTTCCAGGTACAGTCTGTCATGGCTTCCCTTGGCTAGGAAAGGGAAATCCCTTAACCCCTTGCACTTCTGGGGTGAGGCAACGCCCTGCCCTGCTTCCACTCACCCTCTGTGGGCTGAACCCATTGTCCAACCAGTCCCAATGAGATGAACCAGGTACCTCAGTTGGAAATGCAGAAATCAGCCATTTTCTGCATTGATCATGCTGGGAGCTGCAGACCAGAGCTGTTCCTATTTGGCCATCTTGAAATGGACCCTCCCTCTCTATTCTTATAAGGACATCAGTCAGATTGGATTAGAGCCCCACCCTTATGACATCATTTAATCTTCATTCCCTCCTTACAGGTGCTATCTCCAAATGCAGTGGCACTGGGGGCTAGGGCTTCAACATACGGATTTTTGGGGGACAAAATGGAAAAGTATACTGTTCCCAGAGGGGCTCAAATGTGAACAAAAGAAAAACTATGCCCACACTTTTTTCTTTTTTTCTAAACTGTCAATTAATTACTTTATTTCATATAAAAGTTACATTGAGGCCGGGCACCGGGGCTCACGCCTGTAATCTCAGCACTTTGGGAGACCCGAGGCAGGTGGATCACGAGGTCAGGAGATCGAGACCATCCTGACTAACACAGTGAAACCTTGTCTCTACTAAAAATACAAAAACAAAATTAGCCGAGCATGGTGGTGGGTGCCTGTAGTTCCAGCTACTTGGGAGGCTGAGGCGGGAGAATGACATGAACCCGGGAGGTGGAGCCTGCAGTAAGCCGATATCGTGACACTGCACTCCAGCCTGGGTGATAGAGCGAGACTCTGTCTTGGAAAAAAAAAAAAGTTACATTGAAATAAGAGGTTGAAAAGTCACGTATACTTGATTTGCACACACTTGCCAAGTCTCACAGGATTCAACCACTTGGATAATTTTTTAAATTGATAACAGGATATACATATTTAAAGCCTCAGTGAAGTCCAATACCCATGTCCAACCCAGACAATGATGTGCAAATGAATATGCAAAACAATCTCTGGAAACTCGTTTCTCCAGGATCATCCACGATTCATGCTTTGTCCCTCTGGCTGTGACGCAATTCTTCTCCCAAAGGCGTACATGCTTCTGCGGTGACAGAGTCCACTACCAAACCCCTGCAGGTTTACTCACTTAGCTAAGATGTTGGCTCAAGTAGGCCCCTTTGTGGTTTTTCATCAGCAGTGGTAGAAGCCCTAATTCGGATAGGGTAGAGAGTAATTAGAAACAAAAACAAAACAGTTCACAGATGAACAGAAGGCAAAACAGTTCCCAGGAGGGAGACACCAACTTCTCTTAGCGTGGACGGCAGGCTTAAAGGAAGAGCCTCAGAATTTGTCACAGATTGCTTCTGGATGCATCCAGCAAAAAATGTACAAACCAGGCCAGTTTAAGGCAAGTCCCCGAGGAGGGGAGCTCTTTGCTTTCTGGCATAATTTTAAGCTCTGCACCAAGGATTCTGTTTTTTTCATTTTTATTTTGAGACAGAGTCTCACTCTGTTGCCCAGGCTGCTGTAAACTGGCTCAATCTCTGGCTCACTGCAACCTCCACCTCCTGGGTTCAAGCAATTCTCCTGCCTCAGCTTCCCAAGTAGCTGGGACTACAGGCGTGCACCACCACACCCGGCTAATTTTTTTTATTTTTAGTAGAGATGGGGTTTCAGCATGTTGGCCAGGGTGGTCTCAAACTCCTGACCTCAGGTGATCCACCCGCCTCAGCCTCCCAGAGTGCTGGAATTACAGGCGTGAGCCACCGCGCCTGGCTCAAGGATCCTATTTTATCACCTATCCATGGTTGTACAGGTGGAGACTGAGGAGAGCCTCTTCTGGTGTGGAGAATCTGCCATCTGTGACTATAAATATTTATAAAACTCTGCTTGCTGCAAGCAATTGGTTTGTGTAGGTTCCAGTTGTCCTGTTGGTCACAGATGAGCTGTCGATACCCGTCAGACCCCAAATAAATAAGTGGAAGTCTGTGAGCAAGTAAGTTCCAGCCTGATGAGCCAGGCTGCACACCAAGAACTCCAGACCGCCTTTTCTGGGTCTCCTGGGCATTGCCTAAAACAGAAGCTGACAAACCAATTCATCCAGGGGAGTAACAGGGTCCCTAAGGACTGATTTCATCCCTTCCTGGGCAGCCTCCACTCCCATGTGGGCTTCTCGCTTTTCAATCACTGGATCTCCCTCTCATCATTGCATATGGAGTGGATTTGGGTGCCAAACGTAACTGCAGTGAAAGTGAAAAACAGAAGACCCTCCAGGCACAGGAAGGTCAACAGGATTACAGTGAATGGAGGTGAAAAATCACTGCATTCAGTCCACTGCCTCAGATGCAGGTGATAAACTGAAATCCACAGAGAATCAGGGCATGGACTGAAGACAGAGCTATATACATAGTGAAGAGCTCAAAACATCTTTGATTCTTTTCTCCTACACAATTGTTCACCCACAGGCAGTGATGATCCATTTTCCTAATATGTCTTTTGAAAATACTGCTGTGGTGGGCGAGCTCTGGTTTGATACAGCAGCACTTAGGGGCACTTGTAGATCACTTCCCTGAGCTTCAGCTGCAAACTCTCCATGTATTCTTTTGTAGCATTTCCTCTGGGTACTGCCCTGGGGTCGGTGAGCATGGTTCTCAGGTGGGACAACAGGGCAAACACGGCCAAGTAGTTAAAGATGACCCCACTGACCACAGAGTACCAGAAGGCTTTAGAAGCCAGCAACATGATGAAAGTCACCACGAAGTCTGCATAGATGACCGGAAGCCATGTCACATCAGCAGAGATCATGCCACAGCCGTCATGGATGAACCAGACCCTGTCTGCCACGTCAACCTGAGAGGAGGATGACGAAGAGTCATCATTGTCATTTTCAGCCAGGAGAGGATGATGCTCCACGTCCCGGAGCCTGTGTCCTGATGGCTGCATGATTTCACTGACGCACCCTCCCAAGTTGTTTCTAAACATCACTTGAACATTTTGTGCCTCTTCTTCAGGATATTAAGGTGCATACTGTCCTATGTGATCAGATCCGAGGCCTGGGCGGGGTCGTCAGGTGAGACGGAGTCTTGCTCTGTTGCCCAGGCTTGAGTGCAGTGGCACGTTCTCGGCTCACTGCAACTTCTGCCTCCTGAGTTCAAACGATCCTCCTGCCTCAGCCTCCCGAGTAGCTGGAATTACAGGCGCACACCCCCATGTCCGGCTAATTTTTATATTTTTAGTAGAGACAGGGTTTTGCCATGTTGGCCAGCCTGATCTCAAACTCCTGACAGGTGATCCTCGGCCTCCGGAAGGGCTGGGATTACAGGGGTGAGCCACCGCACCTGGCCTGAAGGATTTCTTTTAACATTTTTTTGTAGTGAAGTTCTGCTGGCACTGAATTATTTTGGCTTTTCTTTGTCTGCAAAAAGTCTTTATTTTGCCTTCATTTTTGAAAGATATTTTCTTTTTCAAATTCTACCATGTAGAATTCTAGGTTGACAGTTTTGTTTTTTCTTTCAGTATTTAAAGGCACTGTTCAATTTTGTTCCAATTTGCATAATTTCTGATAAGTTTCTGTCCTCTGTTAATTTTATCCCTTTTCTTTCCCACATAATTAATACGTCTTTTTCCTCTGGCTGCTTTTATGATTTTCTTTTTATCATTGATATTCAGTGATTTGATCATTATGTGTGTTTAAGACCATAGTGTTTACTGAGCTTTTTGGATCTGTGGGGTTATAATTTCATCAAAGTTGGAAAAATGTTGGCCATTATTTCTACAATTTCTAAAATTTCTAAATTTTTCTAAATTTCTAAATTTCTAACATTTTATAGAGAAATTTTTTTTCTCTATTCCTCAGAATGTTGGCTATACCTATGTTAGACAAGTTTATATTTTCCCACAGATCACAGGGAGGGTCTCTGTTCACTTTTTTCCAGTGTTTTCTCCCTGTATTTTATTTTGGCCAGTTCCTATTGCTATGTTTTCAATTTCATGGATCTCATTTTTCTTTAATGTCTAATCTGCTGTCAGTTCCATCCAGTTAGTCTTTTTAAAAAATGATATTGCATGTCTCTAGAAGTCCATATTTATAATGACTTTTTTCTTTTTTTTTAGATGGAGTCTCATTCTGTTGCCCAGGCTGGAGTGCAATGGCGCAATCTCCACTCACTGTAGCCTCCGCCTCCTGGTTCAAGCGATTCTCCTGCCTCAGCCTCCTGAGTAGCTGGGATTACAGGTGCACGCCCCCATACCTGGCTAATTTTTGTATTTTTAGCAGAGAGGGGATTTCACCATGTTGGTCAGACTGGTTTTGAACTCCTGACCTCGTGATCTGCCCACCTCGGCCTCCCGAAGTGCTGGGATTACAGGTGTGAGCCACCTCACCTGGCCAATGGCTTTTTAAAAATCCTCAGCTAGAGGGTTGATGATGAGCTGGCATGTATTCTGAATCTTAAGTTTGTTATTACTACTGTAGCTCTAAAATTACTGTGATACCTAGAAAACAATAAATTTAAAAATCCTTGACTAAAGGCTTCAAGATGACTGACTAGAAGCATTTCATTCCTGCCTCTCCCACTCAGAAGAACAAAATAGCGTATAGACAGTGACACTTCAAATACATTACCCAAGAGTATTTGCTGGAATTCAACAGAGAAGTAACAGGAAACACCAAATGTGGAGAAGGAGAAAGGAGAGACACAGCCTGCTGGTCAGGATCAGCTGGGAGCCAGGAGTGACTTCCCAACATAGGTAAGTGAGAGATGGAGTAACCCGCATCTCCTCTGTGGAATCTTGCAATCCTAGCCACAGGAAAACCCTCAATCCTGCCAACCCCTGAAACTAACATAGGCAGCTGCTGTGAGACCATGGGACAGAACTGCCTCAGGGAGAGAGCTCGAACTGGGTCCCACGCCCGTCCTGAAAACTAAGCAGCTACAGCAAGGTGCCATTTTCAAACACAGACTTTGGGAAACTGCATGCTGTCCTGGGGCCCAGTGGCATCAGGACAGAAGCATTACGGAAATTTGGGCTATCATGGTTGGGACTGCAGAATGAGCTGAGAATGGTCCTATGGCCAGGACTAAGAAGTGAGGCATGGGCTACAGCTGCTGGTGCCAGGAAGGAAGTACCACTGGAATGGAGACTGGGACGTGAACTAGGCACAGGTTGCCACTGGGGCTTGGTTGCCAGCTGGGTGGAGGTTCTTGCAGCTGTGGTGGGGGTGGTGCATAATAGAATAAGTGTGGGCTGCCACTGCCAAGTGTTGGGGATAAGCCCTACCAGGACAAATGTATGGGAGGGATGCATGTTCCTCACCCACTGGCCCAGGCTGTGGGCCACTGAAGATGGCCATCTCCCAAGTCTCAGGCTCACAAAACCTGGGTGGGGACTGAAACTGGGAAACTGAGGAGGTGATTCAGAGGATCACTCTTCCCTGCTTGTCCCTATTAACTCAACCTCACCTTCTACTGCAAATGGACCCTGCAGATCAGCAGCCCCACCCCCGACCATGATCTTGATCTCACCATGTTCTTTTAGTGGAAGACAACCACAAGTCAATGGTGTCAGGCCAACTTATAAAAACATCTAACAAGCAATATTCCGTAAAAACCACTCGTGGGCCTGTTCTGTTTAATATATGGGGGACTGATATGAAAACAACAAAATAGCCTCAGGTTTACAAGACTTCCCAAGATAGGTGGTCTCTGCATGTTTTCAGGAGATATATGGAAATGATTTTGATCACTTGAAAAGAGCTCTTGTGGTACTAGAATGACATCCATAACTGACAAGTATGAAATGGAGTGTTTAGAGACATTAAAAAACAAACCAACCCATAGAGAGGGGAAGAGCTTCAGCAGTAGGGATATCAATGTGGTCTTAAGCGTAATGAAAAGCTAACATGCTACCCCGTAATAGAAATCAACGTAACAATGGGATGCCACAAGAAGAATATTGAGATAGAAAACATTTTGAAAATGAATTATTCACTCATGCAGTATTATATTCTGCTTTTGGTCCTACATATTTTAGAGGATACAGAGAAAACTGCAGAAGACCCAGAAAAGCACATCATGGCAGTCTAAAAGTTCCACATCTTTCACTTGCAGAAAAGCCTTCAGATCTGTTTTTGCTTAAAGAGAAGGTGGGTGACTTCATCATAACCATTGAGAATAAAACCTGTTGAGAAATTATTTCTGCCTTGACGATTTTATACACATAAGGGATGAACAATGAGAAATATGCTTAGATTTATTGGGAAAGAGATAGGTCTGTGGTATTGTCACAAGGGTACACAGATACCCAGAATGACAGCTTAGGGAGGTGTCCCCATCGGTGGTGACCCTCAGGGGAGATCAGGAGGCTTGTGTTTCAGCATGGCCTAGGCAGGTGGAAGGCAGGGGCTCCAAGATTCCATGACATTCCCACCTTCTAATTCTCTTACAGTGACGGCAGACCATTACCTGACCTACTGGACACTACTTCCCTCACTCCCTTCAGAGTCTGAGCTACAGGCAGAGCCTTCTGCTCCAAGCTCTGGCACCTTAAACTTTGTTTTTGGTAGTTAAGGACTTTGAGGTGTTGGGTGTTGATCAAGTTTTCCTGAACAGTAAGTTAAGAATTTCAGTTATTTCAGGACAGTTAATCTCAGTCCTGACTAAACCTGTTTGATTTCAGTAGGGTGTTTTTTTTTGTTGTTGTTATTTTTGAGACAGAGTCTTGCTCTGTCACCCAGGCTGGAGTCCGGTGGCATGATCCTGGCTCACTGCAACCTCTGCCTTCCGGGTTCAAGCGATTCTCCTGCCTCACCCTCCCAAGTAGCTGGGATTACAGGCATGCACCACCATGCCTGGCTAATTTTTGTATTTTTAGTAGAGATGGGGTTTCACCATATTGGTCAGGCTGGTCTTGAACTCCTGACCTCATGATTTCACTAGCTTTTAACCCATCTTGTGTTTGGGTTTCTTCTCCCGGTTCCTGGCTCTACCTCTTCTGCCACAAACATCAGCATAGCAGAATCTGTCAGTCCTTTGTACAATGAGAGAGCAGAAATGAACATCCTAGAAATCAACTAGGAATTGCGCTCACAGATGAAAATGAGCGAACAGCAGTTCCAAGACCTCAAAGAGAAATTTCTTGTCTCTGAAGCTGTGCTTACTGTCTGGCCAACCAGTTACAGAAATACAGTAAGTTCCATAGGTTCACTATCACCAAAGTGATGAATGATCACTGTCTTCTCTCTGAGCAACTAAATACTCTTTAGACCCGATTCCTCTCTTCTCTTCATCAAAATAAACTTCATCCTTCCCCTACTCCCAGAAAGGTAGAAGTGGGTATTTTATAAAACCACATTTTCCTGAGAATCGAAAAACTGGACACAAAGTGTTTAGCAACTTTTCTATATTTGAAGTGGGGTGTAGGGTGGGATTAGAGTTAAAATCTCAGTTATTGATGCCTGATGCAAGCATAAAATTGCCTGATTTTCTCAGCAACAAGCTGAACCATTTTTTACCAGGATCCTTTCTGTACCATATAAAATCTTGCAGAATTTAATTTAAGCATCTATTGAGGCCCATTAGGCAAAGCCTTGTGGTGTCCACACTGGGAGAAAGATGCTGATAGTTCATAGTCCCTACTTTCCAGGACCTTAACGAGGAGTCTGCTCTGAATAGAACCTGTGGTATCCATAAGTGACAGCATCAGGAGCAGGGACGACCCTGCTGAGAGGGAAGTCCTGCTTCCCAGAGCAGAGGCTCTTATTCCTAACGAGGAAGAAAGAGAGCGCTCAAGACTCTGCTGAGGTAGCAGTGCAGTGTGGAGAGGAGGGACCCTGGGCTAGTCTCCTGGGCTCCAGTCCAAGTTGTTTATCTTCTCTTTGCCTCAGTCTCCTGATCTGTTAATAGGGTCCTATAATTCCTACCTCTGTAAATTGCTGCAATAAAGTACAGGACCTTGTTCTTTCAAATCCTCTAGAACAGTTCTTGGCACAGAGCAAAACCTATTTATTACTTCTTCATTCTACTATTCCTAATTTAGCAGATATTTTGTTAGCATTTGGGCGTATTTCCTTCAGGGACTTATGGTTTCAGGCCTCACATTGCACTTAATTGTATTCAGATATGATTTTTTTTTAAATCTTGGCAATATTTGTGCTTTAAATTCCCAATACGAGAGAACTATCAGTCCCATAGTTCTAGAGGCCTTCCCGAGGGTACAGTAGATCACTGCTTTATGTTCCAGCTCAGTGTTTTACAGGAGAGGCTGCAAGGCTTGGCAAAGTGGCCCGGGATTCAGAGTCACACCTTAGTGGATGTGAATTCTGATTCTGCCTCATTCCAGTTGAGTCATATTTTCTAGTTGTTTTATGTGCTTTTGAGCTTCTCTTTCCTCATCCGTAAATTGGGGCGTATCAGGTTGGTAAAGATGTGGCGCTTCTGTTGAGGCCCAAAAGGCAAAGCTCTTGCTGGCTGCACTAGGAGAAGCGATGGTAGCACAGAGCATCTGCTTTAAAGAAACCTAAAGAGGAGGCTGCTCCTGCCAGACACTGTGGTACCTGTAAGTGACAGCATCAAGTGCCGCCGAGAGCCTGGTACCGGGGATCCTTGTGTCCTTGGGGTGGATCCTGACTCCTCCCCTGTAGGCAGCGACATGTCCAACCTCCCACCGAGACAGGTGTGTCTTCTCAGAGTGTGAGGAGCACAAAGGCATCACAGAATCTGTGCTGGGGGAGAAGATGCAGTTCAAGGAGGAGAAGCTGGCAGAGAAGTCAACACAAGCTGAGGAGCTCAGGTGAGGGAGGCTCTGTGTGGTGGGGCAGGGAGGTGGAAGGTGTGTGAATCTCTGATGGGGGCAGCTCAGCTGGACAAATAAGAGCTAATCCGGGCCAGGAGAAGGGCAGGAATTTATATAGCAGGCACATGTCGTGCAAACATGTATACAACAATTAGAGAACAACAATACTAGTAAATTACAGGCTACAATTGTGACTCGAAACAAGTCATTATCAAGGCAAAACTTACATAACACAAAATTAACCAAAGGAAAGTGAACAACTCAGAAGCATTTAGTACATTCAAAACATCGTGTAATCACCACTACATTTTCTCTTTTTAAATGTTTTATTTTAATATTTGTGGGGTGCATGAGATGCAATGGGTTATAATAACATCACATAAAATTAGGAATCTATCCCTTCAAGCATTTGTTATTTATGTTACAAAGAATCCAATTATACTCTTTTAATTATTTTTAAATGTACAATTAAATTATTAGCTATAGCCACACTGCTGTGCTATCAAATACTAGGTCTTACTCATTCTATTTTTTTTGTATCCATTAACCATCCTCATACTCTCAACCCCACTACCCTTCCCTACCCCTGGTAACTATTCTTCTACTCTCTATCATCATGAGTTCAATTGTTCTGATTTTGAGATCCCACAAATAAGTGAGAACATGCGATGTTTGTCTTTCTGTAACTAGCTAATTTTACTTCACATAATGACCTCCAGTTCCATCTATGCTGCAGCAAATGAAAAAATAACATTCTTTTTTATGGCTATATAGTACTCCATTGTAAATAAACCATGTTTTCTTTATCCCTAGAATCACCTCCTGACTTACTGGCTTCACATTATTTCATTCAAAGAATCTTTTCTTCTTGACCCTGTCATTCTTGCATTCTTTCATCTCTCTGAATAACCTCAGCTGTACCTGGCCACATTTCTCTGTGTGGCTTTGTGTCCAGTCACTGCGTAATGTACTATGTGCATTTTTACATGGAAATGTCCGCAACCAAAACGAGAAACTAAAGGGGTATCTTTCTGAAACAAATTTGGGAAGACAGCTAGTTTTATTTACAGAGGAAAAGGACGAATGGAATGCTGAGGAATCCTATAGGAGCACTCTAATACAGAGGAAGCCTTTTATTAAAATTTTTTTTCCTCTTTGCCAGAGGCATTTCACCAACATGTGCTAAAATTCTGCTTGGAGGACTCTTTGAGGATATTCTCAAAAAAATCTCTGTTGCAATTCTTTGAACTGATCACTGATCCCTCTCCACTCTTATATTTTCTCTACTATCCTACCTTAGGCGATACAAAGCCCTAGTTCACTCTCAGGCACTAGAGCTGACCCAGCTGAGGAAGAAGTTACGGGAAGGGAGAGAGGCCTCCCTCTTACTCAGTCAGCATCTCAAGGCCCTTCTCACTGATGATGACCCTGACAACCACCAGGGGCAGGACCTCCAAGAGCAGCTGGCTGAGGGGCGCAGGCTGGCAGAGTGCCTTGTTCACAAGCTCAGCCCAGGTCAGGTAGTCATGGGCCCTGATGACGCAGAGTCCTAGGCTTATGAGAAGACTCCAGACCTCCACAACTGCACAATGACAATTTTATTAGTGGTCTTTCTTTCCACTAAACGTTAGTGCCATGACATGACCAGGACTTCTTGTGTAGGAAGAGAGATGGGAAAGTCAGGGGTTGGAGGTCACAGTATGGCAAAAGCCTACTTCCTCCTTGATGGAACTGGTCTTTGGACCAAGAGGCAGCATCCATCAAGTTTTAAAGGACAGGAAGGAGGATGTGACAGGAGGCAGCTTGTGAAGAGTGAAGAGAGCCCTGGACTGAGAATGGAAGTTCCCAGACTCTATTCTCAGCATTGTCTTAGCAACTGTGGGCCAGCAATTTATCCTTCCTGGATGTCTGTGTCTAACTGGAAATGGGGACAAATTATCTCTTGCGTGGTAGATCTAGCATTCAAATGTGGGAACACACATGAGTGTATTTCAAAATAAGACAAAGTTCCTCACTGTGTGATGTTAGATAAGATAGTTGATGTAGTAGCATGTGGTGTTAGGAAAGTTGTTAAGACTGGAACACTCTTGGCAGAGAGAATTTCCTGGGACAACACAGCAGAAGCCACTTGGAGGGTCTGTGAAGTTTCCTAACGAATGGAAGGGTGGGGGACAGGGTTGGTTGTCCTCTCCTAAAAGAAAGAAACAGGTTTTAGTGAGAGCTGTGAGGGGACAAAAGAGACTGTTCCTGGGAATCAGATTTGTGTCCAGATGGGGGAGACAGCTGCCAAAGTCCAGAGAGAAGCTGGGCTAAGCCTCCAGTGATACGGTGGGAAAAGATATTTTTAATTTTGGCCCATGTCATGATGGTGACTCTCCAGATCAGAAACACATTGTCTGATGGATCAGGAAACCACACCAGGGCAGAAAACATGAGAGATAAAGACAAAACATGAGAGCTTTCAGTGCAACACTGACTTGTACATAGATGTTCATGTCTCTGTTCATGTCTGTGTGGTCATATGGCTCACTGTGTTTGCAGTGGGTGAAGTGGGAAATATCCAAATGGACACTACTGCATTAGTTTTCAGAAAATGATAAAGTTGAGGATGAAAATGTCAAAGATGAGAAGGTTGAAAAAGTCGGAGAACCACTTGCCCCCAGGTAACAATGAACAATCAGGAGCTGGTAATGGATAGGTAAAATATGGAAAAGGCCTCAGAAAGAACACAAGGGAGGTGAAAGTAGTCATGGATTCCAGATGCAAGGATGAACAAAACTGCAGATTGTAGTAATTTAGCGCACTCATTCAATAATAAAATAGCCCCCTTAACATGGTTGTCTGTTTTCTTTGTGGTACCTGTAAGCATGACCTGAGGTGAACTTACCAGCCTTAGGGATTTCCTGCACACACTGACTAGAACTGTTCTCTTCTGCAATGAAAACTAGAAG